ATGTCAGTGGAATGGAGGAGCAAGTGCTATCTGAAAGCAAAACAGATCCTGCCGCCCCCTCCCTGGCCCCCATGTCCCGCACGTGCTGCTTGAAACTATATAGGCGATCTCTTTAATCTGTCAAAATACATATTTTGGTAGAGAGGTGTCTGACCAGAAAACTGGAGATCCATTTCCTCTGTCCTTTCATGGGATTTAGTCTTTCAGTGGAATGGAGGAGCAAGTGCTATCTGAAAGCAAAACAGATCCTGCCGCCCCCTCCCTGGCCCCCATGTCCCGCACGTGCTGCTTGAAACTATATAGGCGATCTCTTTAATCTGTCAAAATACATATTTTGGTAGAGAGGTGTCTGACCAGAAAACTGGAGATCCATTTCCTCTGTCCTTTCATGGGATTTAGTCTTTCTTTTAGACTGACGATAAAGGAGATTCTCGCAAGGTATTTTAAGGCTTAAAATAAAAGTCTCCTCAGCAGCTGTCTTGTGTCAGATTTCTCTTTCTAGAGTCTAGGGGAGAGTTTTATTTAAAAATTAATAATTAATAATTATTTCGCTTTTCTCTATAGATTACTGTCTAGAGTCAAATTGTGTGTTTTAAAAAAATCCTACTTGTATACACAAAGTAAGCCAAGTCACACAGGTCATTGTGCTGACGAATATGTACAGGACAGGTGTGAGAACGATATTGTTTTTGCAAATGATTGCCTGTGTGTTTTAGCTTGTGTGAACTTTGATGTCTAATTTTATAAAAATGAGGCCTTTAAAAATACATTTTGAAAATAGGACAAATATAGTTTAAGTTAATGTTAGTTCTTAAGCAGCTTTGAGTACGCTTGTAATTGCTTGAGTGCGTGTTTGTGTGTAGTGTCTTCTATTGCTGCCTGGCAATGATTCTACTATAAACCCAGGATGGTCACATTTGTTTCAGGTGCAAACTGTGCAGCATGTGTATCCAACTCAGGTCCAGTATGTGGAAGGAGGAGAGGCTGTCTACACCAATGGAACCATGTAAGAGTCTCTGTCATTCACATTACTAGAGCCAATAAAGTTCATTTTGCTTTCTTTGAGCGTCAGAGTACAATTGTCTGTCCTGCAGGATGGAGAGAGAGTACACAAAAAGTTTTACTCTCTGATTCAGACACTCATCTTGCAGCTGGGTACAGAGTCAGTCCTTCTACTCTCTCTGTACCGGGGTTGCTGCATTCTCCTCCTGCTGCAGACACTAGCTCCTGTAAAGGGGAGGAGGAGCAGCCTGCACAGCACTGTGTAATGGCTGTGGCAGTGGCGAGACTGCTTTGATGCTGGATGCATCATGTGTGAGACACATCTCCGCAAGGAGATCCCACCTTAAACCACATGGAGCTCCCTTTATGGAAATGGATCCTATATTCCTTCTCCAAACCATGTTCTATCTACTAGGGAGCCAGGGTTTTCAAAATGGAGACTCCACATAAATGAGACAGAATTCTAATTGGAAGGAGGGTCCTTTCTGTGGTTTCCTCTTCCTCACTTCTTCACTTGAAAGATTCTTTGTGCTCTTCCCCCACAAATTGTAGGGTTGCTACCTGTTCTGTCTTTCTGTGGTGCTTCCAGGATGTCTAGCTGGACCGCAACAAGGCTCAAAGTAACTCTCTTGGTCCAGGACGTATCTTCATGCAATGCCATCATATTGCATTCCCGTGTATTTGTTCCACATCAGCATATGGTCATGAGCCAATTCCCCACTACACAGACTTGTAAGGGTAGAGACCCTCAATGTTGTTCTGAGCTGAGGTTACATTCTTACCTGTCTTGCCCTTCTCTTGAGCATGATTGCAACGAATAGGGTAAACTTGATATTGGATTGTCTGATATTGGATTGTGTGGACTTCTTGGAATAGATGGTCCAAAAGAAAATGCTCATTCTTTGTTATGATAAATTTAAAAAATTCCTGCAATTTCCTGTAAAAAAAAAAAAGTCAGTTTTTCAATGAAAAACAAAAAGAAAAAAAAAAAGAAGGAAAAAAATTAAACATTTAAACCAAAGTGAAAATTTTGAGCATAAGCTTTACTTTTGGTACTATTTGGTAATATAAAGCCATTTTTATTTAAAAAGATGTTTTAAATAAAGATGAGAAAATGTCAATCAGCTCTATTTGTTACAGTTTCTTGAACAATAAAACTCAAATTTTCAAAAGCACGTAGATGACTCAAAACCCTAAGTTTCATTTTCCAAAGAGACTTAGGAGCTTCAGGCCCATTCTAACACAGAAATTTTTGCTAAGAAAGTGATGTTGGTTAGGGTTGTGAAGATTTATTTTTCTGGTTTCAGAACAACATTTCTATGCCAGTGAAATCCCTGGTGCATATGTGATTTTTGCTGATTCAGCTTATTTCATCTGGGGAATATGATACCAGAAAAAGGTCTCCTTTGCCTTTGTGTCTGTGCTGAGGGTGTGTTGGTAGCAAACATTCTCCAGCATCAACTAGGCCTCCATCTCATGTAGGCAATTTTGAAAATTTCCCCTTAGTTTCTGAAGTCCAGGGTGTTAGAACTTGAGCTCCTCTTTGGGCCATGTGCTTTATCATGTTGCATCCCCCACAGGCTCACTGACTGGGAGGGGGGCACAAAGAAAGGCAACTACCCCAGGACCCAGTGATACAAGAGGGCTCAGAGCTCCGGGCACTTTAAATGTCTGCCGGAGCACCGTGATGCACACTCTGGGCAGCACTGAGGGCTGGGGGGGAGGGGAGAGAGGGGAGGCTGGCAAGGTACGCTCCAGTCGGTGCTGAGGGCTGCCTATCCCCATTCTTGTTGCTTCAGCCCAAGTCCCTACCCCTTAAGGGATGCAAAGCAGCCCCACCCCGTTCTTTGCCTAGGGGCCCAGCAAAGCTGTTGGCCTTTATGAACCCACTTTCCACTTCTGACAGTGCAAACGTTCCAGAGCACTATGGCTTGGGACCTGCTCTAGGGCTGACATCAGAGAGATTCACATTGTCAACTGACTTCTGTATCTGAGCTAAATTTCAGTAGAGCAAGTCCTCTCTACAATGGAGTCAAGGCTTCCTAAAAAACCATTGTGCCATGAGATTAGATATTTAAGCTCCCCGACGTGCTTCACACCCTAACCATATTGTTCCTTTGACAGCCGAGCCGCCTACTCCTACAACACTGAAGCTCAGATTTATGCCCCCAGCAGCGCAGCTTCCTATTTCGAACCGCAGGGAGGTGGAGCACAGGTGACTACAGCGGCATCCTCTCCTACAGCCATTCCCTCTCACAGCATGGTGGGCATCACTATGGACATTGGGGGAAGTCAGATCCTCTCCAGCTCGGGAGCCTATCTCATTCATGGGGGGATGGAAAATACTAGACACTCTCTGTCACATACTTCACGCTCCTCTCCAGCAACGGTATGTAGCCCTGCAGGTATTGCCACTACAGGGCCAGGAATTGTTCAAGGGGAACTGAAAGGACTTCAGAAAATAAATAAGATGTGTGTGTGTGTGTGTGTGTGTGTGTGTGTGTGTGTGTGTGTGTGTGTGTGTGTGTGTGTGTGTGATATATAAAATGAATGATGTGTAAGTGTTTTATTAGCATGTGCTTGGGATGTCTCATTACTCATGAGATTAAGGGGTAACTTGATTGCAGCGTGTAAGTATTGACATGGAGAACAAACATTTAACAATGGGCTCTTGGAAATTTGTCCCATTAAGTTCTCATTTCTAGCCCAGTAGGATTTTCAAACAACTTTTATTTTATTTTATTTTATTTTATTTTATTTTATTTTATTTTATTTTCATGCCTAGAAGAGCTGTTGATGATCTACAGCTGAATTTTGTCTGTTCTGGTCCTTGGGCTGGATTTTTGTTTTTTGTTTTTGTGGGAAACGCCACATTTTTGAAGAGAGAAGGAGGAAACATTTATGTGGAAGGTTGTTCTTCAGATGAGGCAGGATAGGCCATTGCTGAAAGTTGTTAGAGGAAATGCCAAGTGGGGCAGGAATAGTAGGAATTCATTTAGCACATGGATATTACCTCCACCTATGTGGTCTGTACAAATGTGTGAATACATAGATTTAATTGCAAATCTTAGTCTGCAGAACAACATGGGATTACTCATGTCAGGTACCCTGCTACCATGGTGATGGGTACAGTCCAAGAACCTTATTAGAATGAAATGTCGATAGCATCGTCTCACTAACAGATCTAATTATGTAGCTGCCTTATTGTACAGGATTTTTGTTTGCTTTCTCCCTCCTTTGGCTTCATTCAGGATTTAGGCCCCTTAAGGTACGTCTACACTGCAACACTATTTCAAAATAACCAGTGCTATTCCGAAATAAGCAGACAGTTTATTTTGAAATAGTGTCAAAATACTATCAAGCTGGAGGACTTCTCACTCCAACTCCTGTAACCCTCATTGTATGAGGAATAAGGGAAGTCGGAAGAAGAGTGCTTCATTTCGAAAAAAGTGCTGTGTAGACGCTCCCTATTTCAAAATAAGTTACACAATTGTAGCTCAATTTGCGTAGCTTATTTTGAATTAAGCCCTGCAGTGTAGACGCACCCTTACTCATGTTTAGACAGCCCAGCAGTAACTGTTCTTACTCCAAATAGCTCATTGTTTAAGGACAGATAGACAAGAAGACAGACTACCAGGAAGAAGAAACAACATGTAATTTAAAAAAAGCAAATATGTATGTGAACTAGATTCATTGTAGGTAGCATGGGAGACATGGGTCTTCAAAAGGGACATAAATGTAGACAGGATAGCCCTTAATTCCCAGTGCTGCCCAGAACACGTGGTGCTTCGGCAGTGGTTTAAAGGCAGCGGCAGCAGCATCTGGAGCCCCAGGCCTCTTTGAATTGTGGGGCCCCGCGGTAATTGCCCTCCTGGTCCCTTGTCAGGAGGCCTGTTCCCAAATTCTGACAAGGGGCAGGAACTCCTCAGACCATGCTTTTACATCCCTGTCCATCTGGCTTAATAGCCATTAATGGACTTATGCCCCTTATCTAACATAATTAAAAAAGGAACTATAGTCTTGACCTTCACAACATCCTCTGGCAGATAGTTCCATAGGTTGACTGTGCGTTGTCTGAAGAAGCACTTCCTTTTGTTTATTTTAAACCTGCTCCCTATTAATTTCATTTGGTGACCTCTAGTTCTTATGTTATGAGAAGGAGTAAATAACATTTCCTTATCTACTTTCTTCATGATTTTATAAACCTCTATCATATCTCTTCCCCTCTTCCAAGCTGAAAAGACCTAGTCTTATCAATCTCTCCTGATATAAAAGCTTCCTCACCCCTATAATTTTTGTTGCCATTTTATGTACCAATTTCAGTATATCTTTTTTGAGATGGGGCAACCAGATCTGCATGCAGTATTCAAACTGTGGGCATGCCATGGAGGCAATATATAGAGAACACAAGAACGGCCAGACTGGGTCAGACCAAAAGTCCATCTAGCCCAGTATCCTGTCCTCCAACAGTGACCAATGCCAGGTGCCCCAGAGGGAATGACAGAACAGGGAATCATCAAGTGATCCCTCCCCTATCACCCATTTTCAACTTCTGACAAACACAGGCTAGGGACACCATCCCTGCCCATCCTGTCTAATAGCCACTGATGGACCTATCCTCCATGAACATATCTAGTTCTTTTTTGAACCCTGTTAAAGTCCTGGCCTTCACAACATCCTCTGGCAAGGAGTTCCAGAAGTTGACTGCACTGGGTGAAGAAATACTTCCTTTTGTTTGTTTTAAAACTGCTACCTATTCATTTCATTTGGTGACCACTAATTCTTGTGTTATGGGAACAAGTAAATAACTTTTCCTTATTTACTTTCTCCACACCAGGCAATATGATATTCCCTATCCCTTTCCTAATGATTCCCAACATTCCATTAGCTTTTTTGACTTCCCCTACACATTAAGTAGATGTTTTCAGAGAACTATACATAATGGCTGTGTCTACATTGGCACCCTTTTCCGGAAAAGGGATGCTAATGAGACCAGTCGGAATTGCAAATGCCCCGGGGATTTAAATTTTCCCCGTGGCATTTGCATGAACATGGCTACCGCTTTTTTCCGGCTCGGGGGCGGAATTGCAAATCCGCAGGGTATTTAAATACCCCCCGCAGCATTTCCATTTACATGCCTGCCACTTTTTTCCGGCTCGGGGTTTTGCTGGAGAAAAGCGCCAGTCTAGACGGGGTCTTGCGGAAAATAAACCCTTTTTCCGGAAGATCCCTTATCCCTTATTTTAAAGAGGGATAAGGGATCTTCCAGAAAAGGGTTTATTTTCCGCAAGAGCCCTGTCTAGACTGGCACTTTTTTCCGGCAAAGCCTCGAGCCGGAAAAAAGCGGCAGCCATGTTCATGCAAATACCACGGGGAAAATTTAAATCCCCGGGGCATTTGCAATTCCAACTGGTCTCATTAGCATCCCTTTTCCGGAAAAGGGTGCCAATGTAGACACAGCCAATGACTCTAAGATCGTTTTCTTGATTGGTGGCAGCTAATTTGCATTTGTCAACCTCTCTGCATGACTGTGATTATGGCTAGATATTCTCCATGGTCTTCCAGATGGGCTGAACAGTAGGAATTCTATGAAGACATTATTATGTCTGTTCCAGGAGAGGGCTGTGCCTATGCCAGAAGAGGGTGTGTATGTAATCAGAAGTCCAGAGGCAGGACACCCTGATGTTTTTATATCCATGGCTCCCCAGAATCCTTTTTAGCTCTTTGGTCAGGAAATGGGTTTGTAGCCATTTTCACTCCTTACTAGCTAGTGAGTAGCAGCTAATAGAGAACTGTCATCACCTTGTATGCCAGTGTTCATGAAGTATACCCGAAAAATATTAAACAATGCATATCTCTGGTGTATTGGATTGACCTTTACTGTTAGACAAGAGAGATCTAGTTCCTCTCTGTGCTGGGATGGAAGGAAGCTGGGATGGAAGGAAGGAAAGATATCACAGCTGATTTCCTTTAGATACTTTGCTGAACCTTAGGCCACAAATCCCTGTGTCAGCTCAAAGCAACTGATACTACAAGTTGCCCAAATTTCAGTGTCTCTTCCAATGTAACAAATCAGAGCAGGGTGGGCTGTTTCCATTCTGATTAAAAGCACACACCTTAAAGCGGAGCGATTAAAAATATTTAAGGGCTTCCTCCCAGCCTCTTTTTTTGGAAATGTAAAATCTAGCATATGCATTTCTGTAGGGCTGCTTATCACTGCACGCCTATGAGGGAGACCTGTGTCTTGTCTGTATTATGCGGGTGCATATACAGTGTGGATGTTCAGCTGTTTCCCTATCTTGGAACAGGGGAAGGAAACAGTGTTTCCCTATGACGTTTGACTCATTTCCGTAAGGCTACATCAGCAAACCAAAAAAGTTTTGGTTCCTCCCAGTTACCACAGGATGCTGGACTTATTTCTTGGAAATCACTGAAGCCTACCAAGTCCTTGTAACTGCCCCTTATTTGAGCTCAATAGTATCTAGTTAAGCTAAGGAGGACATTGTACTGTATATCCTTGACTATCTTCTGAGTGGAAACAAAACATTTAGTATTCAGGGTAGCATACAGGAGGGTGGGACCACACCTAGGCACAGACACTGGAAACTAGCACTTTGTCTACGAAAGTAACCAGATCCATTTAACTCCCTTTAGGGCTCTGGCGGATTTTTGCTTTTATAATGGTTATTCTACTTTATCTTATGGCCACCTTGTAGCCATAGGGAATATGCTAACATATATAAAGGAAACTCTAAGCATGGTCTGTTTGAATAAAAAAATGCAAGGCAACAAATAGAGCAAGTGGGGCATTGGCAACATGGTAACATTTACACCTGCTGTTGCATGAGTGATCCCATAGAATTCAGGTGCAGGATGTGAGCCATCTTGGCCTACTTACCTTTGGGAAAGAGAATTGATTAATGATGCCTCTTACCTGGCTATGTGCCATTGATCACTATGGCGATGGGTGCCTTCTTGTCCTGTTGCTACTAATGGGCCATGTATAATGAGCTGCCTGGGACTTCCTTACTACTGCACACTTATGGAGGAGAAACAGGAGGGTTTGTATCTGCCAAGACCTAAGCTTGGGTCTGTCTTGCTTCACTTGTAAACAGCACGTCCCCTTGTCACCCTAAGCTTATAGAGATTTGGGAGCTGCATCTCTCTGTTACCAAGGTCACCAGCTGTTGCAGAAGATCCCAGAGCCTTCTGTCCAGGGTCTTGGCAGATGCATAAAGGGATGTATTTATTTGTAAAGTTTGGCCACAGTTTATGTAGGAGCTTAAGGAGGTTCCCCCCACATGGCAGAAACTCGCACGCCAGGGCCTCATATGTGATGGAGCTGGGCACTTATACTGTCTCTGTGTAGTCTGGGGGCATGGAGCGGTGAGGATGTGGCCCTGAGGCCCATGATCCCATCAGTGCAGTGGTCCCAAACCTTCCGGGGCACTCTGGGAACTGGAATGGCAGCTTTGGAACTACACTGTGATCCCCTGGCAGGCTAAGAGTGGTGAACTATATTCCCTGCCCAAACTCAGTGTCATTCCCTGCCTGCCCTCAGCCTGTTTCCTTGGGTTTGGCAGGAAGGGTGAATTTCAGCGTCCCCACTTGAGCTATTGTCTTCACTATTTATTTATTGTAAATCCCTTTCTTTTACCGTTAACAAAAGGCCCTGAAAGCAGCTCCAGCACTGCCCCATGAGGAAAAATCCAAAGGGAAATAATAATAATAAAAGCTGAAAAGTATTTTTGTCTGACACAGAATAACGCTGGTGATAGAATATGTGTACAGGAGCAGCACCATGGACCCTGCATGATTGTCTCACAAGGCACTCAAACAGTTTGGGACAGGTTGGGCATATACCCTGAACCCAGGCAGCATTTCAATTCCTGCTTACACAGTGTTCAGTGTTAATGGTAGCCCCCAGTATTGGGGAGAGCATGGCTACCAATAAGAGCTGTTGAAAATGTGGGTCCCAGTTCTCCATTGGGTAGGCCCTGACACCAGCTCAGAGTTTCTAGGAGATGCCAAATCAGACCAGTCACATTGTATTGCTCACTTTGCACTGGGGTAAATGACTGCGCAAGGTGCAAGGAAATGGAGAACCAGACCCTCACCAATCAGTGTTTCCCAAAGTTTTGAGATTGGTGATTTCCCTTCCCCCCCCTTACATTTACTATGAAAGTAAGAGTAAAAAAATGTATCCGTGAAATAAACTCATGTCATTTATACGTATTTTGAGAGTTAGCACTTGGTCTCGAAGGGCAAAGGAGAGGAGGAAACAAGATTTTATTTGCTTTAGATTGCAACAACATTTTCAGTTCCTCATGACCTTCCCACATCTGCCTTTTGTAACCCTGTTGGGTGTTGCTATCCACCAACTGGCAAATACTGAGCCAAGTGGCTGTTTTCCTTCCCTAGATCGTTACAGGAATACTCGGAGAAATGTTATAGGAAATGTGGGCTCCTCTGCTGCCTGTGATGGGAAATGCAAAAGAAAAAAAAATCTTTAAAAATGCCCCACCAAACCCATAGAGTTGCAGTAGACAGTGAACATGAGATTGCTGGATAGGTTGCCATCTCTGACCATGAAAATTGCATTGGCCTCTATGTTAACTATTTGGGGTGTGTCTGTTCTGGAGCTTAATAATAGTCTCCTATGATTACACTGCAGCTTTCATTCAGAAGGGTCCCTAAGGTTAGTAGACTGTCTGCAAGGGTCCTCTACCATTGGTTTGAAAACAGCAACACCACATAGCAGTGTGTTAAGCGAGGAAATGAAGGGTAACTTCTTTTATCGAATGTGCAGGGGCATCAAGGTGGGATACGGGCTAACGTGCCCTCTGTTAGGTCGAGTGCCATGTGAACATGATCACAAATGGCTGAAATATTGTAGAAGGGTGATGCCCTTCTACAACTCTGATTCAGAGGGGAGACTGCCCCATAGTTAAGGACTTTCAGCATACAGAGGTCTTAAATCCAGCCACTGGCAAGGCCTACTTCTGTTTAACCAGCAAGATACAGTTTCTCATACCACAGTGCTATATGATTTTAGAGTGACACCGTGGGCCCGTTTAATGTGTTATTTGTAGTAGCTCTGTTAGATGCACTATTTCATTCAACTACTATGAGTGGGTCTGTTGAGTCTCTGAGTAATTTAGTAAATGCTACTAACCAAATTTGGATTTCACACAGATGGGGCTGATGATAAAATGTACCATCTTTATATGGCTCTCTGTTTAGACATGCAAGAACTACCAATGAAAGTTGTTGGAGGAGTGAATCACTATATTTGTGGAGGGAAAAGGGAAGGAAACAGACATTTCTTCAATAACAGGGAATTTAAAATGCAAGTTCTGAAATGATCCTAGCTCTGCTCTTTCATTCTTAATATGTGTCCTTGCTGGGCAGTTAGTTTGCATGTGTTACAATAACATTTCTTTGCTGCACCTTCAGCTCGTAAGGGCTGTACTGCATCTACCTTGCATCTTTGCCATGTGCCCGTTTATAGACAGCATTAATCATTATTCAGTTATTAATAAAGACAAACCTTGGCTGTTGCTAACTATCTGATTTCCTTTCTTTTCTTTTTTTCTCGTGCGTATTTCCTTTAGCTTGAAATGGCGATTGAAAACCTACAAAAAAATGAAGGGATTACATCACACAAAAGCAGTTTGCTCAACAGCCATGTAAGTTACTGTTGGACTTTACAACCTCTTCCCTGCTTTGTTAGAAGCATTATTTATAGAGGTTTTGTGTACCAGCCAATCTGGGCAAATCAGAGCAGCTTAAGATTTGGTCACTGCATTCTCCATGACAGCTTTGTCCAAAAAAACCCACAGTATGCAAAAGCTTATAATGATTTTTATGCTTGTTTGTCAAGATGCTCTGGATTCTGTTATCTGTCTCTGCCCCATATTTGTTTATTTAATCTGCCTTGGAATAGAAGCTGTAGGCACTTAGGTAAGCGCATTGAGAGGTTTGTCTCCTTTCACTGGAGATTTGCTTTACAGCAACACTGTGTAGTGACTCATAACAGATGTCCTCTGTACCCATATAACAAAGGCATACTGTATGGATGTGTCTTGGCTTGCGTGAGAGTGTACTTCTTCTTTCTATAGCCAGGAAAGGCCTTCACTGTTGCAAAGCTATGCTAAACCCACTTGCTGGACTTTTCTATTTCTTGCTGATCTCAACCATTCCTTTGCTTTGGGTGAAATTCACCCCACTCTACTGGGCCTCTACAAGATCTTCTGTGTTATGCCTTAAGGCCCCCGATCTAGCAAAACTTAATTTTTAAGTACATAATTATAGAATCCTAGAATACTAGGACTGGAAGGGACCTTGAGAGGTCATCGAGTCCAGTACCCTGCCCTCATGACAGGACCCAGTACTGTCTAAACCATCCCTTATGTGGGATAAAAGGGTCTAGTCCAAAGCATACCAAGAGCAGTAGGAAGGTTCCCACTGAACTCGACTGGGCTTTGGATCAGGCCCAGTTGTGGGTCTACGCTGAAAAGTCATGGTATAAAAATGGCACCTTTTCCCACAGTTTTAGTCTCTGTGCATTCAGAGTCAAGATCTCTTGACTCTCTTGGAGGGAGGGAACAAAAAGATGACTTTACCCCTTATCAGCCCTGGAGAACTAGCACAGCTGTGCTGTAGCGAACTGGACTTCTTTTTGGCTTACGTGTCAACAAAACTGTGAATTTAATGGAACAGTCCCTTTTGGATCTAAGCGCTCTCAACTCTCATTGGAGTCAGTGGGAATGGGGAGTGCTTAGCACTTTGCAGGATCAGGTCTTCACATTTCTGTGTCATCAGATTATATTCATGGTCACTCCTGTGCAACTGCACTGAAGAGCAGGACAGATGAGACCACAGACAACATTTGGATACAGATTCAGCCGTATTGATGATGGTGCATAAGCCAGAAATAACCCAGCTCTCAGCCCAGGGTGGTTTACATGACTTGGCAGTAGGAAAAACACACACTTGGCAACTTGAGAACATTTTGATTTGAAAAAAATATTGCAAAAAATATTGGAATCCCTCTCTGGACAATTTTTATAATAGTCATGTCTCCGAGTAGAACATGTCTCCTGGGGCCAGGCCTGTTATTCTGCACTAGGGGGAATTTTACTCCAAAATAACAAAAAGAAAAAAAAAATCTACCAGTTTTTTTTCAAGTATATCCACTTTATTTTTGAGTTACTGTAGTTAGTGTTCTGTTGTATCACATTTCAGAAAAAAATCGCCAGTATTACCTTCCCTTAGTGTTCAAAAATTGTGTGATTGCTTTTTAAGCAGTCATTGGATTTTTTTTAACAAATGTTTTTATTAGGGTTTCTTTTGGTTTGAGGAGTCACATTTTTAATCTTATCACTGCAACCACAAGGGTTAGAAACTTAAAAAAAAAAAGCGGAGATTTTCCTGTAATTACATAATTCCAGGAACTGGGGCTTTAAGATAAACACCAAAAATCATGAGATTTGCAATAAAATCATGGGCGTTGTTAACACTGAATCTCTTCTCATATATCTGGGAATTTCTTAAGAGCTCTGGTATCATAATTTTGACTCTGTGAAGTGCTGTAGGAGGACAGAAGGCCAAAGAGTCAGAATCTTCAGCTACCCAGTTGGGTCTAGTAATAATTAAAATGTCCATTACAACAGGCATGTTCTTTTTTTTTTTTTTTTCCCCCGTGCGGAGACAAAAATGCTTCTGACTTACAGCAATACAATAAAATAAATCTCTGAATCAAAACTCTTTTGATAGCTCCCCTGCAAGCATGTCCTGCTGCAAGCATGTTTTTTTGAAACACCTTGTTGAGTAGATAAAGCAACTGGCTGGTTTGATCCTTCTCATGAACAAACCAGCGTAGAAGTAAAGAACGTGATTGAAGATTTCTTTAAATTGTCTGTAGTTTCATACCTCAAATTTAGGTTCTGTTATCAATACATTTTTACAAAACCTAATGGCTACGTCTATAGTACGACTTTTGCCGGAAGAGGCAATGCAAATGAAGCGCGGATTAGCATTTTCTTGCGCTTCACTTCCGATCCATTTTGCGCAAGGGGTTTTTGCGCAAAAACAAGCAGTGTGGACATTTCCTTTTTGCGCAAAAAAACCCTTTTGCACAAGATCGGTATAACGCCTTTTTGAGGCATAAGACTCTTGCGCAAAAAGGAAATGTCCACACTGCTTGTGTAAGCGGGGGAATGGTCCCGCTCTTGTGGGGAACTTTCCTGGCTTCTATACACCCCGGTGAAATGAACCAGCGAAAGGATCTGAGTCCCCGCTCCCACTTCCTTTACCCCACGGCTCCCTGATCCTGAGGGCTCCCCCTCCACTCTCCTGAGTAGCAGAGCCCTTGAAACCCCAACAAGGCTGGGCCCAGGTTTCCTGGGGCTTAATCCCTGACCTTGTAGTCACTAGGGGCAGGAGTTAGGGTGTCCCCACTCCGAGGTGCTCTCTTTACACTGCAGGCCTTCTTGGCCCAGTGATCACTTCATAAGGTTCAAAGCAAATACAATTTATTAAACAACAACGGATTAAAGAGAAAAGAATAAGAAAAAAATGAGAATGGTTAAATGGGAACACACAGCCCTGCTCTGTAGCACAGGGACATCAAAACAGCAGCCTGCAGAGTATAAGGACAGTCCACAGTCTCTTTCTTAGAGGCCCTGGATATGCTGCAGGGGGCTACAGGCTGGACACGCTAGCTCTGGTAGTGACCACACAGTCTCAAGCTCGAAGTGGCCAGACCCCTCTCCCAGTCCAGAGCCTTTCCCCACACTTTGCAGGTCCCAGTAGCTCACCACATCCAGCTGCAGGCTGTGCTGCTTGGCCAGTTCCAGCTCCTTGTGTTGTTTCTCTGTTCCTTTTGGCTTTCTGAGCACTGCCAGTCTGCTGCTCAACACAGGGTCTGCACTGCTTGGCCTGTCTGTGTCTGGTTCTGTCGCTGCAGGACTTCTTCTTGTACTCCTCTTTCAGCTCTCTGTCTTTGCAGGACCTCTTCTGCACACAGCTTGTTTGTTCAGAGACAGAGCCAGAACAATCCCCACTTACAACCTGTCAGTCAGGCTGAGCTGGAGTGTTGACTGCTTTCCATTGTCTCTGGGGTCTGTCAGTCTCATGAACCCTTCCCCTTCTGAAGCTGGTAAACCAAAAAACTCCCACGGAGTTTTAGTAAGGGGTAACAGTCCCCTTACGGAAGAGAATATGCAAATGAAGCGTGAGAAAATGCTAATCCGCGCTTCATTTGCATTGCCTCTTCCGGCAAAAGTCATAGTATAGACATAGTCAATATGTAGACGTTTATTCCTGATTATGTGCATCCATCTTAGTGTTTGCAATACCTTGCTGTTAGAAACCCAAATACAACTGCATTGGGCTGGTGTGTGAGAATTAGAAAGTGAAAGGGAAAAGGAGGCAGTGATCTGTCCAAGCTGAAGGGATTGGGAAAAAATTTAACTTGGCATAAATCATGCAGATAAAAATAGATTCTTAAAACTCTTTGTTTTGATTATTTCAAGCACTGTTCCTATCATGTGCAAAATAGTAAACAAAAGGGGATCTTTCTTTCTCTTGGAAGTGTCTCCAGGGTTACCCAGTGGGGGGCGGGGGTGCAGTTTATCCTGGACCCTCTATTTAAGAGGGACCCCAAACCAAAGGGCATTGCAATCTGCTGCACAGAGTCACAAGATCATTCACATTTGGCCTGGTCTCCCCTCTGTCAGGGTAGAGGGCAGCTGGGCCAATCCTGAGGGGTGTAGCAGCCCCCCATGTTACAATGCCTAGAGCAAGAAATTGGGCCCAGCCCTATAAGATAGGAGTTGCCACTGTGGAGAGAGCTCACTTTCCATCCTACCCTCCCTGGGGGCCTCCCCACAGTGGTAATTATTATGGAAGATCTGGGGGAGAGGGTGCTCTGTTTCAGATTTTGCCCTGTGTGACCCTGAGTGTCATGAAGGTAGCTCTCTAGGGAAGGTATCAGCTAGTGACAATTACAGTACTCACTAAGGCTGAGTTGCTTTCTTTGTTTTTTGTGCAAAAGTTTCTTAAGGTCATAGAGAACTTTTACAGAGGTTTCCATTAAGTGTTCTGTCGAGGTACATCGGGTTGTTTTCCTTCCTCCTTCATGATACATGAATCTGTAAATTCCTAAAATAAATGTTCCTACATTACCAGCAGCAGCTGGATTATGTCAAGATTTCAAAAACCAGTATGCTTCGTTTTATCTGATCATTTTATCTACTCCCCTAGGCCCATTCCTGTAAAAACCCTTCACATCATTTATTTAAGTTAAGAACAATGGTCACATGAGTAAGAGCTACATTGGGTAGTAAGTTTTTGTGGGATCAGGGCCTAGCAGAGCTGGCCTTACCATGAGGTGAACTGAGATGGCCGCCTCAGGTGTCAGACTGTGGGGAAGGGGGAGGCACAACTAGGACCTAGAATGTAGAAAATTGTGTCTGCTGCTGGTGCATATGTATTCTCTCTGCTCTAGCTGTACAGAGATGGTGGAGTGCTGTGCTGGAGGAAGGAGCGCACAAGAGACATATCAGGCAGGCAGGAGAAAAGGTGGCATGGGGGCGTCATTTGAGCTCCCCGCCTCAGGTGCTAAAATGTTGTGGGCCGGCCCTGGGGCCTAGGCCTCCAAAAAGTTCTTGTTGCATGGGGTTATGCAGACTTGCTAGATCAGAAAGTTAAAAACTGCGGGCAAAGTCATAGCTGCCATGACCCCTGAAAGTCTATATGCTGATGTTTGATATTCCTAGATAAGCGAAATGTTGCTGGGACTCCACTAATCACACAGATAGCATAGAGCAATTAGGTCAGAGGGAGGGCTCTGTGGATCTCCGTTCTATATATAAATTTTCAGCTGATGGGAAGAGACTTAAAAGAGTCTACAGTTTTCAACTGTGATTGAACTGAGGCATCTAAATCTATATTTAAACACCAACCCAGTGGCCTGATTTTCAGAGGTTCTGAGTAGCTTCGGGTTCTGAACACCCTTGAAAATTGCAGAAGTCAACAAGAGCTGTCTGTTTGCTCCATCTCTGAAAATCTGGCCATTTCTCTAGATGCCCAGATATGGATTGGCTTGCTTAACATCATCCAATCATATTTGAAAACTTTCCTGCTG